TATGAGAGAACCCGGTACTTACCTCCAAATACATTCTCTCCTTTGCAGAAAGTGATTCAAAAACACGAAAGGCTTTATCAGTCGCCAGCAACCCCTGCAACGAAAGCACACTCAACAGGTGAGTCATTCAGATACAGAGGGTTAAATCGCTGGAAAATCCTGCTGCAAAACAATTCAGACATGCAGTCACTTTTGACAGTAGAACTTCAATGGTGTTCGCGTTTTATCTGTTCTATTTTCAAAGGGTGACGGCCTTGAGATATCATCATTGAAGCTGACCGGCCCCAGGTAATTCAGAATTATGTTGTTCTGGGCATCTGATTGTATCTGGATTCGCAGTTGGCTCTGTATTTCAATAGTTCATGGGTGTACAAACTGAGCTTAGAACATGGTGTGACAATGACGTGCATCTGCTCTGTGAAAAGGCCAGTTGCTGGGCCAAGGTAACCTGAAAAAAGCCTGAATAAGATATTCTGGCAAAACTACAATTTTGATCAGAAAATCATTTGATTCAATGCAGTCTCACCACCGATATGAGAAGTCTGCAATTTTTCAGGCCAAACACCAAACAGGAGTACCGTTTGTTCCTGGCTAAAGGCCACTAGTGGCAGCGTACTTGATACTATATGGCGATACTCAGCTGGCAGCCTCACTTCAGGTCCTGGAAGTTGGAGCCAAGCAGGGCTGTTGCCAATTTTCAGTGCTTGCTAAATGAACTCGCATCACTAAGATCAGGGAAGATGTGCTTAGTCTTCTCGAGCAGGGCTGTAAACCCGGTCCCACCAGGGGGTCCACCCCCAACCGGAACCGGGCCGGTGGGACCGGCCGGTCCACCGGCCCGGTTGCCCTCTGGTCGGCTATAGCGCATAGGTGAATACTGGCTGATTCAATTTTTTTTCGGGCCAGAAGGCCCCCACAACCCGTGTGGGGGCCTCCTGGCCCTAAAAAAAATCAAACCGGTCCGGTAGGGCAGCCTCCAAGTTTCGAAAAGGGCTGCCTCTCTGGACTGCTGCTCTCGAAAGATCGGCGGCCCAGATGAGCCCTCCCTTTTCAAAAATTGGAGCTGCCGTTCCCTCCAGCCTACTACTTCCCGCCTCCCCCCGACTCACCAGCCGTACCATCAACAAGCCAATGCCCCCGCTGTCGTCGCCCGTCGCCGTCATCATCGTCATCGTCGTGCATCGAAGCCCGCCCGCCCGTCATCATCGTCATCGTCGTGCAGTGAAGCCCGCCCGCCCGTCGTCATCACCGCCCTCCCGCCAGCGCGCCACAGGTACGTTTTCTTCTTCTTCTTCTTCTTCTCTCCTTACGTTGTGTGGAAGCGTAGACGCGCGGTACACAGAGAGAGAGAGAGAGAGAGAGAGAGAGAGAGAGAGAGAGAGAGAGAGAGAGAGAGAGAGAGAGAGAGAGAGAGAGAGAGAGAGAGACCACAATCTAACTACCTACGCGCCAGCCAAACCACCCCCCCAACGATCAACTGTGGTATCTGCTCCGATCAGTTTCATTCTGATTCGTGGTCAATCAAGGCCTTTTTTTTTATAAACAAAAAAAAAGTAGCGTGCATTGAAGCAAGCGCAGAGAGAGAGAGAGAGAGAGAGAG